GTCTCGGCTTACCAGAATCAGGGGTTATGAACTTAGAAACTTCACGCACAATAAAGCTAGACGACATGCAATCCCAGAACAAACCTATATACCTCATTCATATAACATCCAACCACCAAAAACCAGACATCATTATCTCAAGCTATTAGCTCCTGTGTTAGAAGCTAAGAACCACAACCGAAAACAACATGCGAGCACAAAACCCACTCCCCTGTCTCGGATTCAAGAAACAGAGCAACCTATCACATATAAACACCTTCATGATCCCGCAGCACATGCATATATCTATATATATATATATATATATATAAATAAAAGAAGCGTCCTTCTCCTCCCTTTAACCTCTGTTTTCGGTTGACATAAACAGAGAAGAAAAATAGCACATGCAAGCTCAAAAACTAGCACCATATACTTCAATCGGCCATAAAAACACCAGCTCACTGAAACTTGTATCCTTTTACTCACTTTCTCTCACTAGAACCCAAACTTCTTTCATCATTAACTCTTCAAACACACAGCAAACCAAAGAACGAAGAGTAGAATGATGATCAGGGGGCTCACCTGAATCTGAAACTCCGTTTGCATGCAGGAATCTGGCCACCGATCACTACCTCCGATCACCAACTTCTTCCTCTCGGTCTTCCCCTCTCTCGAGTTCTCTCACTGTCGCGGATGGAAGGAAATGAAAGAATGCCACGGTGATCAGTTATGTAATGAAGAAGTGAATCAGGTGGCTAATGGAGAAGGAAACACGTGTATTACATAGTTGCTGGACCATTTTGCCCTCCAAAATAATTATTTCTCCAATCTTATCCTTCTCCTATTTTTCTGAAATATAAGATATGTCCAGAAATTAAACCAAAATATCATAAATGGATTTTTCTTATCCATTAGCTTCTTTGAACCATAAAATAATTTCTCTAAAATTTTCTAGTTAATTAGAAACCTCTAAGTATTTTCTAAGAAAATAACCCATTTTGCTATGAAAATAGCTTTAAAATCATTTAAGCCACTTTTCGGGGAATGAACTTTTCCAAAATATTTCTAAACCTTGAAAAATCAATATTCCATAATTTTTCCTAATTGATTGAGCTATTAAATAATTTTAATGAACTTTCTCTTTTCTGCTCATCCTGAGTCAGAAAATTCGGGGTGTTACAGTATGACACGACCTTACTTAAAAATATGGCAACCAGCTACTTCTCACATCTTTTCATGGAGGAACAAGTAGAGAGGCCTTTGATAGAATGTACCGTCTCTTTTCTGAAGATTGAGGATCATGAGCTGCACGCATGCGGGAAGGATGTGACTTTGAAAGAAATCAAGACTGCTTTGTTCAGTATGGGTCCCTTGAAGTCTCCAGGGCCAGATGGCTTTAATGCATTATTCTACCAGAACCAATGGCAGACGGTATGGAACGCTATCCACACTTGTGTGCGATAGGTCTTTGTGAATCCCTAGAAGGTCAGGGATATTAATGGCACGCTGATCGCTCTTATACCAAAGAAAGAACCCCCAGAAACACTAAAAGACCTCAGACCAATTGGGTTGTGCAACATAGTCTACAAGATAATAACCAAGATTCTTTCTAATAGGATTAAACCTGTTCTCCCTCGAATCATATCTCCTAATCAGTGTAGCTTCGTCCCTAGAAGACACAGTAGTGAGAATATTATTGTGGCACAAGAAGTCATCCACTCCATGCGCACAATGAAGGGGAAAAAAGGCTTTATGGCAATCAAGATTGATTTGGAGAAAGCATACGATCGAGTGAATTAGGGGTTCCTCTCTTCTTGTCTTGAGGAACTGAACTTGCCGACTCATTTTAGAGACATCATTTCAAATTGTGTGGCTTCGGAACATATGCAGCTTCTCTGGAATGGAGACAAAGCAGAAATTTTTTTGCCTTCTCAGGGGTTGAGACAAGGCGATCCTATCCCTCCCTACCTTTTTGTTATATGCATCGAAAAACTAGCCTATCTTATACAGGAAAGTATAGCGAAAAGGCAATGGCATCCCATTCGACTTACAAGAACTGGCCCACCTATTTCCCACTTATTTTTTTGCTGACGACATCATCTTGTTCTCGGAAGCTTCCATCAATCAAGCGGTGGAGATAAATAAATGCTTACATGCGTTCTGTACTAGTTCGGGCATGAAGGTAAATGCTACAAAAATGAGACTCTTCTTCTTTGCGAATGTCAATCACAATAGACGCAAGGAGATAGGTGATCTCTTAGGGTTTACTCAAACTGGTGATCTTGGAAAATATCTTGGCGTCAAGCTTCACCATACGAGGGTCACTAAGGACACCTACAGCGATGTTATTGACCGAGTTAAATCCCACATATCTAAGTGGAAAGCGAGTGCGTTGTCACTAGCTGGACGACACACGCTCATATCCTCAGTGTCGTCGGCGATTCCTGGTTACATGATGCAAACGTCCTTTCTTCCTTCCTCTACCTGCGAGAATCTCGATAGGCTGAATAGGAATTTTTTGTGGGGCAGCTCAGAGGATCGTAGGAAAATTCACTTGGTAGCCTGGGATGATGTGTGCCTGCCGAAGAAGCAAGGTGGCTTAGGGTTGCGCCATGCAAATCATCAGAATCAGTCTTATATGATGAAACTGGGTTGGAATCTTGTGAGGCGTCAAGATGACCTGTGGGTTAAGGTGGTGAGAGACAAATATAAGTGTGGGAATGACCTTATCCCAAAAATTGAATCCAACAGATCGGGCTCGAACATTTGGTTAGGCATAAAAAATACGTGGAAAAAAGTTAGCGAGGGACTTGAGCTTGAGGACAAAGGGTCTATTCGTTGGCGTTGGAATAAAAGTGGTGAGTTTTATGTGAAGTTAGCATATGAGTCTTTAAGGCCACTGGAAGCTACTGAAGACCCGTTTTGGAGGAAGCTTTGGAAGCTACAAATTTCGGAGAGGTGTCGCATGTTTCTTTGGACCGCTGCTCATAAATGCCTGCTGACGAATGCCTCCAAACGAAAGCGTCGGCTCAGCAGTAATGATGTATGTCTAGTTTGTAGTAGTTGCATTGAGGATCTTCTTCATGTACTTCGTGATTGTCATCTGACGAAGAAGTTGTGGCGCGAGCTTGTGCACCCTGCAATTTGGAGAAGGTTCAACGTTTTGGGATTTGACGAATGGTTTAGATGGAATCTTACTATGACTGGTAGCACAGAAGCGGAAGAATGGAGAGCAACCTTCGCTATTGCGTGCTGGTGGATTTGGAGGAGACGGAACCGCTTGCTGTTTGAGCGAAAGGAGAGCTCTAATGCCATGCTTTGTGGAAGCATTAAAGCTATGACTCACAGTGCAAGTGAAGCGCATGCCAAATTCCATAGAGGACGGTCAGCAGTGTCACTATCGGGGGTCAAGGAGGAACGATGGCGTCCACCTCAACTAGGGCAAATCAAAGTTAATGTCGATGGTGCCTATTCCCACAAGACTGGAGCTACTGCATGTGGAGGATTGATCCGCGACAATGAAGGAAGGTTCATAAGAGGCTTCATGTTCAGATTCCAGGAGGGCGACACACTCACAGCAGAGCTTTGGGGCTGCCTGCACGGTCTAAAAATAGCGTGGGATATGGGGTTTCGAGATGTCATTCTTGAATCGGACTCCACTAAAGCAATATCACTGCTGCTTGGGGAGGTTAGCGAACACCACGACGACTCTGTCCTAGTCAAGGAAGCTCAAGGGATGCTAAGTCGAGACTGGCAGATTGATGTGCGGCACGTGAGGAGATGGTATAATGTAGCAACTGATATACTCGCCAAGGAGGGTCTCTCAACTATGATCGGCTTTCACATGATAACTCACGCTTCGGAAGAACTACGGGTAGCTATGTCCAGGGACATGGGTTAATGTAATTCGGTTTTCTGTCTTTTAGTTATCAAAAAAAAAAAACAAGAGAGCTTGTAGGTTTTCCTTTGGCACACTTTAAATACAACGATGAAAAATGAGTTTAAATAGGATTTTAACAAGAAAAATTGAACTGCGTGTTTTAGAACTTAGTTAATTAGTTATCACTTATCAGTTTAACCTCTTTGATTTGTATTCTATATAAGGTAAATCAATTTTCAACTCAATAGTCATCCGATGAAAAAGTTAGAGAGCTTGTAGGCATATATATTCAATCTCATAAAAATTAAACCAAAACAAAAATTAAAGATCCCATCTCATTGCACATCAATAAGAATTTTTTTTGAAGAAAAAGCTCAATTGCTATATTTAATTTGTATGGTATTTTTTTTATATATTTTATATTAAATCATATTTTTTTTATAAGAATGAGAGAAATGGAAGGGAGGGAAAGTAAAATTTTAATGAATTCAATTTAAGAATCGAAAAACTAGGGCTGTAAAATTTTGATAAAATGAAAATGTAAGGTAAAAGAGAACAAAAAATTAACTAAAAAATTTTAACCAAAAATAATCCACTCATATTCTTGTTTTAATATATACTTTAATATAAAAGTTAGTTTATTAATTTGATAAGATTAAAAAAGTTACTAAATTACTTAGTTAAAAGCATATATTACATGATCTTTCTAAAATATTTATATGTATTATTATATTATATGTCAATTTATAAGTGAGAAAATTTATTTAAAAAAAATAAATATAAACATTTTAAAATAATTTAGTAATTTTTTTAATTTTTTCAAATTAGTGGACATTTATGGGCTTAAAGGCTGAAGCAAGAGACGGACAATACCCACATTGACTGGGCCTGAAATGCCAACCCAAAACGCTGGCCTGCATAGATGATATTTTAAAATGATATTTTTGGTAAACCTAACGACCACGAGAAAAGCGATGACTTATCAAACAGCTATGAATGATAAAGCTGTGTGCTGAGTGGCCAACCAGAAATTTACACCCAATAAAGGCAAAGGCGAGCAAATAAGGGAGAAGATAAGCCCCCAACTCCCAAGTCCCAAGTGTTATCTAGTCAGCACAAGCTTAAAAGGTACAAGGCCTTATCCACAACTTTTCGTCTTTTCCCCTCCTAATTGTTCAAGAAGCAGAAAATCGAAGCTTGCGCCCAGACGCGGCGCCTCATCGCAATTCATAACTTCTTCAACTGCCAATCTTTCCTCCTGTATTTCCATGGCTTCCTTTCCTGGTTATCTTCTTCTCTTCTTCTTCGTCCTTAACCTTTCTTATGCTTGTGCCTCCTCTTACCTTCCATTTTCTTTTGTTCTTCCTGTCACGAAAGACCCTTCTACTCTCCAGTACTTGACTTCTCTTTCTTATGGCACTCCTCTTGTGCCTGCCCAGCTTGTGCTTGATCTGGGTGGTTCTTCTCTCTGGATCGATTGTTCATCCAGAAACCTGCCTTCCTCTTCTCTCCGTACCATTCCAAGCCGTTCAATTCAATGCCTGATGGCGAAAAGTCATAACCTTGAGGCTCAGACGCAGCTTCCCGATCAGCGCCAGCCGTGTCAAAGTTTCCCGGAAAATACCATCACAGGGATGATACCCAGAGAAGGAAACCTTGTACGAGACGTCGTGGCTCTCCAATCAGTCGAAACTGGTCAGCCCCTTATCTTCACTTGTTCACTCACTCAGCAATTGAACGGCTTGGCGATTGGAGCTAAAGGTATGGCAGGGCTTGGTGGGGCTCGTAGTTCACTATCATCTCAGATTTTTGATTCAGTCACCGCCCAGAGAAAAATCACTCTTTGCTTCTCTTCTTCATCTGGGGCTGTGTTATTCGGCAGAAACTCGTATGAATCTCAGCCCGAAGGTGAAATTTTCAGATCTCTCACATACACACCCCTATTTACCAACCAAAAGGGATACTTTATCATCGTGAACTCCATCAAAATCGATCGTAGGAGATTGTCTTTGTCACTGCCCAAGGACCAACACACCAGAGGAACGACTCAACTGAGCTCGATTGTGCCTTACACTACCATGGAGAGCTCAATCTATGACACTTTCAAGAAAGCCTATATGAAAGCTGCTTCTGCTATGAACATGACCAGAGTGACTTCAGTGGCACCATTTGAGCTCTGTTTTAGCTCCAAGGGGATTGATAATGTGCCAATGATTGATCTTGTGCTGCAGAGTGAGCTAGTAAAGTGGAGGATATATGGTAGGAATTCGATGGTGCGGTTGAGCAGTGAAGTGATGTGTTTGGGGTTTGTCGATGGAGGATTGAACCCAGAATATCCCATCGTGATAGGAGGATACCAATTGGAAGATGTCATTGTGCAGTTTGATTTGGATACTTCCATGGTGGGATTTAGCTCTTCTCTGTTGTTGAAGCATTCTAGTTGTTCTCACTTCAAATCTGGTTTCACGTCTGCAGAGTCAATTTGAGTGTCACTTACACTTTAGTTTAGTTCTTCTTTGTAGATGATGAAGCTTTCTGCTAAATTTTGTTACCCTATGTATATGAGGTCGATAACTGCTTATTTGCATGGCGAGTATGTGTAAAGAACAACAGTTATGAGGTTCTTCAAAGGGTTAAATCCCTTCTTTTTGTTTTCCTTATATTGACCAGAGAATTAATATATATGATGTCAAAAACTGAGACTACATGATGCAGTTGCAAAATCAGTTAACAGATTCGGATTTCTGTTTGTTTGATCATTGCTTCATGGAAGCTTCTCTGAAGAATCTCTCATCAACCTTTATTTTTACTAAAGCCAAATATGTCTAAAGAAAAATGACTTTAGTATTCCCTGATTGCTGGCCTCATGGAATGCAAGACTTGAACTTTTCTAAGGAGGCATGTTCTTTGCATCTTTCATTTCTATCAGAGATCTTATTGAAGATTTAATTGTAAAAGCGTCTGAGATCTCAGAAAAGTCCTGTACATTTGTGAAATATTTCTGTAACAAGTTTTGAGTTCAATTCAAGGAAGACAACGAGTAAAAACTGATACGTCAGTTCGGTTCACTTGGCTCCGTTTCTTGACGCAAGTGGCTTTTATTTTGTTTTGGTAACTGGGACAACAATACGAACTTTGGAGACCAATTAGATGAACATAATCACTAGAAAACATGAATTTATTGAGAAGGTTTTGGACATGGAAATTGCATGGTGGATCAGGGACATTTGGTACATCCATAAGTCTTTCAAGCAACAAATGAAGTTCCCTATCTTACAAGCAATTGCATGTGCAATAAATCTTCAACGCCATCTTTCTCGTTTTCAGCATCCAGGTCAAAGTTCCTTCTTCAACCAATGAGTTTCAGTAACAAAACTCTTCAAGATATGTGAACATTCACTTCCACAGAAATGGGCGTATTTTTGAACTATTCATATGCAATGTACACTTTAGTTCCCCTTATAGCTATTGTACGTGGTTAAAGGGTGTAAGAATCATCAACATGAGATTTTGAATCTCCATGTCATAGCCTATAATTTGAATGCTGCATTTTTCATGCAAGAGTCCAACTTTAAACATGAAAAGGAAGCTCTCAGGTCTCACATCTCGTTCTATGTTCAAGATCAAATGAATAGAACCTACCTACCCGTGCCGCTCGAATGTTAGCTCTCGCTTCTCCACATCAAACATGAAAAGGAAGCTCTCAGGTCTCATATCTCGTTCTATGTTCAAGATCAAATGAATAGGACCTACCTACCAGTGCCACTCGAATGTTAGCTCTCGCTTCTCCACATCTGTGTCTTGTGTCTTGGACTCGACTCTCAATGCGTTCTCTACTCTTAATCCATTCCCTCAAAGCTAAGTTTCAGCTATCTCATTGCCACTCCATTATTAGTTTGGCTTTTAGCTTTGAAGTAATCATTTTATAAAATTTGCTTCTCTGTTTTTTCCCCGTGATCAAGACCTTGAGTGTCTGCGGGCTTTTGGTTTATTGGGATAGAGATGCTGTAATGAATAGTGGGTGTCTGTGTATGGACTATGGTTTTTGCTGTGATTAAGCTTGTTGATCTCATATGAGCCACTAAATCCATTTCAATGGGGTGTGGAACTAGCATATGAGTGGAGGCGTAACACCTTATCAATAAAACACGTAAACTTAGACAATCTCTAATATAAAGCAAGTTCTAACGCAATGGGCATCCCTAGAACAATTTTGAGCATATCATTGGGCTTCAAGCCCAAGTTAACAAACATTACACAAAAACATCATGTTATGAGGCCTATATTACAAAAAGTGAGATTTATAAGTTCAAGAGGTTTTACCACCGAATAATCTTGTCTTTTGGGATGAGCTCTCCCTATTGACTTGTGTTCATAATATTAGTACTTTCATTAAAAGGTTGATTAAAAAAGAGTCATGTCTCCTCATTTAAGCAACAAAAACACAATAAATCAAGTCATTTAAGAAACATGACAATATTTTAGTTCTATTTAAAAAAACACACTCATAATTATTCTCATCTTCCTACGTAATAAACACAGAGGGCAATGCATAGTCACTCACATACCCATGTTTATCAAGCACCAAGAGCATAAATCATTGATGAACTTGGACTCCTAAAAGATGCACAGAGAAAGTAGATGATAATTATTTGTTGGAAGGCCTAACATTCATTGGCAAAGGATGGTAGATCGGGAGGATTTGGCACATCCATGAATCCTTCAAGCATTTGCACAACTTGCTTCATCGTGGGTCTTGCTGATGGATCCTCTTGAACGCACCAGATACCGATCTTCAGATACTCTCCAAAACTCTTGATGTCAATTTGAGCTTCCTTATCTTCTTCCACTAATAGGTCCAATCTCCAATGGTGAAGGCAATCATATGCCCAATCTATTAGTACCATCTTATTCTCATCTTCAACATTCACATCAAAGCTCTTTCTGCAACAAATGAGTTCTACTAATAGAACTCCAAAGCTATAAACATCCACCTTCATGGTAATCGGCTTGTTTTTGAACCACTCAGCCGCAACATACCCTTTAGTTCCCCTAATTGCCGTTGTAGTTACAGTCTGGTCAATCATCAAAAGCTTTGCTAAACCGAAATCTGAAATTTTAGCTGTGTAAGAGTCATCAAGCAATACATTTTGAGGTTTGATATCACAATGTATGATCTGAGATCTGCACTCTTCATGCAAGTACAAAAGTCCTTTAGCTGTTCCTATTGCAATTTGCACCCTTTGATACCAACTTGGCCTTTCTCCTTCAAAAAGAAAACTTGCTAAAGTTCCCTTACTCATGAACTCATAGACAAGCAGCCTATGCTCACCTTCATTGCAAAATCCCAAAAGTTGCACCAAATTCCTATGGTGTGTTTGACCAATTGCACTCACTTCTGCTTCAAATTCCTTCTCATTTTCATTCACCATTTTTAGTTTTTTAACAGCAACAAGGTTTCCTGGAATGTCTGGCAAAACTCCTTTGTAAACAGTAGAAAATGCACCACGACCCAATTCTTCTGCGAACCCATTTGTTCCTTCCATTAGCTCTTTATAAGTGAAATTTCTAAGATTCATCCTTGGCTTAACTGAACCAACTTCGGGCTTCTTATGATTACTGTGACCAAACCAGTACACAACCACACAAACTGCCACTGACAAGAGCAAGTTCAAGAATACAGAACTTCCTAAAAGTGTTGAACCAATAATAATCAATTTTGATCTATCATTCTTCACATAAATAATTTCAGGATTCAAAGGAGAATAATTATCTTTTCTTATTTTAATCAGAGCCTTCCCTCCAAATGATGACACATTCTTTCCATTTCTGAGAGGTAGGCTCACCTTCCAACATTCCCCATCTCTGAAAACAACAAGTGCACAATGACAATCATCTAAACAAGCTTGTCTACACCAATCCTCACCTACTGGTGTGAAGTAATCATAGTCAGGACCTGGAAAATTTATTTGTTCCATCTCAGTGAAATTAAAGAGATGTGCTTCTGAAGAAGTTCCATTACAACTCTGTGGAGCAAAGTTTTGTTTGCATCCTTTCATCACATCGTTTGGATCAATGAAGATATAACCATATGGACAAAGGCAACTTTTCATCCCACTATCAAAGGTACAGTAGCTGTTGAATCCACAAGCTCCGCTTCCTTGTCTATCAGTAATGTTAGAGCAAATATCCTCTGGTATGTTGGAGTAAACTGACCAGGACATGGGCCAACTTCCGGCACTGGTACTATTACCCTTGGGATAGATATAGTGCTTAAAAACTCCATCATAATCAATAATAGCTCTGTGATAGAAATCTTGTGTGGATGGAGCATTTAATGATAACTTTGCGGCTATACTTTTATTACTGCTCTGAACAAATATAGAGCCTGTTTGGTTGAAGACCAGTGAGAAGCCATCACCCAAAGCCGCGGAATTCCAATAGGGCAAATTTGCCGCTGTCGATGGAGAATGGGTTGTTCGAAGCACAAGATTCCCATCTTCTTGGAGTCTAAGCTGAAATTTCCCTGTCGAAAAATTATTTTGCGAATAGCGCGAAACAATTTCACTAGGAGAATTTAAAACCTGTCCTGGTAGAATTGTATCAGTGGGATGATCAAAGCTTTGCCACAATGGTTGAGATCGTTGACCAAATAGCACAAAGTTACCAGTATCAAGCATTTGTGCATAACCAACGTCACCACTTCCAGAATTGCCACCACTCCAAATCTGGGAACCTTTGGGATCAAGTAACTGGAGCCAACCATCTGATTTGATCTCAACTTTGGAACCTTTTGACACAACAAGTGCATCACCTATGTCATTCTTGGCTGACCAAACGATAGTGTTCTCTGGAATTTTGTTGAACCAGATGGCTAGTAAGAAACCATTTGTTTTCTCAATTTGTTTGAAACCAAATGCATAATCATCAGATGATGAAGGCCAGAAGGAGCCATTTTCCCCTGCAGTGAGAACACTGCCCCAGGGTAAATTCTTAGAAGCTTGAGCGGCTACAGAATGCGAAAGCAAGGCAAGCAAGAGAGACAACAAGATTGGATATGGCTTCTCAAAAGCCATTTGATGAAAGCACGGGAATTTGATTTTATCAAAAACAAATGCTTTTCCTCAAGAGTAATAATTAACTAACAATTGTTTCTTCATATAAGTACCGGAGAATAATGAGGATCTACGTAGACCCTTTTATGCAAAATATGCCAAGCAAAGTATAGTTTGAAATTTTCCTAGAAACTCATATGTTTGTCATTTAGGAAAAAATCAAATCCCTTCTGGAAAACATTATGTCCGTCGACTCCAAAAGTCTATGCTTCACCGTTTCCTAAACGGTGCCGAAATGAAGAATCTCAGAAAAATTAGTGCCTTTCCAACATGCAATGACAAAGCTTTAGGATAAGATGAAATGCTCACTTATGATTTTCTAATTATTAAATTGTTTAAGTTTTTAAAAAATCTTTCATTTTTCAAATTGTGTTGAAAAGCAATTAATCTGCATTCAGCAGTCTACGAACCATTTATTTTCTTAGGGCAAATTATCGTGGCACATTTCAAATGATAGCTTACTTCTGATTTTTCAAAAAGATGCAATTAATGCATTGAGCATCTTAATTTTTTATTTAATGCATTCAATTAATATACTTAATAAAACTGATTGGCTAAATGCATGATTGAAACATCAATTCTGTCAGAAGTTACAAATTTAGTCAGAAGTGAAAAGGAGAACAGAAATACTAAATTTGTATTTTATATTGTGAGAAGCATGTTGCGTGTTAACTATTTTTGTATTAGTCATTTCATTTTCATTGGGCTTAGGACATTTTAGTCCTTAAACTATTCTTTTATGAATACCAATTATTCTAAACTAATGTTAATCCTCCTTTCCATATTCGTTAATTATTTGGACCATTAGGCACTGTTTGGTATGATGGAGTGAATTTCTAGGGAATGGGAGTGAGATTGAAATTAGTAGTGGGATTACGATTTAAAATTACGTTGAAGTTTCTTATCTTATTTTTGTCCGGAGAAGAACACAAGTTTCAATTCCCAAAATTATTTTTAATTGTTGTAAGATTTTCTTGTCATTATAGTAGTTGAGAGTAATTCTTTCAATTAAAATTTATATTTTCTTCTAAAGACAAATACTCCTATTTAAAAACATCTTTGAAAGTATCGAACACCTTGAGGAAAAAATCAACTCGGTGTCGGAAAGTAATTTAGGACCATTCATTTCTAGGGGGTGTTTGGGTTCCAACCCAAACCATGGTTTGGGGACCCAAATCATGGTTTGGGAAAATATCTCCCAAACACCCTTATAAAAACCAATGGGAAAAGAAAATTTTTTTTACTTTTGGAAAAAAAAGAGAGAGTATGAGAGCCTATAGGATATGTATCTTATTGTTTTTTTTATAAACATTTTTTAATAAATATATTTAATCTTATATCTTATAAATATATATACATATTAATTAATTATTAATTATATTATCTCATGTATTATTAATTATGTTAATAAAAAATATATTATTAACAATTTTATTCCTTCAAATTAAAATATATCATAAAATATATTTTTTCTGTAAGTATCATATTAACTTATGCCTTTTTTAGTAATTTGTACATGTAAAAAGTGTTTATGGTAACAACTATCCAAACACTCTCACTTCTCAGAATCATTTTTTCACAAAATCTATTTTTCTCGGAATCTATTCTCTAGAAGCTATTCTCCAAACCATGGTTTGGTTATATCCAAACACCCCTTAAGACAAACAGTAGACTTTGATTTTTCAACTTTGAGTATCAATTATTTTTAAAAAAATCTAATACAAATATATATGAGCTGTAATGGGTAAATGAGCCTGAAGATAATTAAAACCTATATATAGAAAATAGAATTAATTCAATATATTATTGAGGAATTCTTACATGCATCAGGAGTGTATCGTAATTTGTGCTCTTGACAAATAAAATCCTCCAAATCAAATGGTGGGACCCATATTTATTGCAGGTTTTTATATATCCTTTTCCTCATGCACGCTCTCTCTCTCATCTCTCAACTATCCCTCTTTTTTTGGTTTAATTTTTTGGGGAAATCACAAATAAAGACCCTTGAATTAGCAAAATCACTCTATGGTCACCTGAATATGCCAAATTACCATGAGGGACCCGGTCTCAAATTGTAATTATGAAATCATGACCAAATTACCAAAATACCCCTCTTTAATTTTTTTTTTAAAAAAAGAAAGCCACTGCCTCACCGGAATCCGGCCACCGGCGCCGGAGCTCCGGCGGCCGCTTCCGGCCACTGTCGGCAGCCGGACCCCGGCGTCCGGCCACCGGAGCTCCGGCACCGGCGGCCACTTCCGACGGCCTTCCTTTGTTTTTTTTTTTTGTAACTGTTTTTTTTTAAATAGTGAGGGAAGTGAGGTTGGGGGGATTTGATCCCCCAACCTAATGCTTCCCAAAATAAGGAATGACCATTGAGCCAACAAATTTTTGTTAACATTATGATGCAAAAAAATATATAAGTTAACTCATTTACTCTTGTTCCAGGTGATGACAACAATACATTTAAAAATAACAAGTTCTGATTATAAAATAACAAGTTTGGGATTAAATTTTAACAACACGTTTTTTTTTATAACAAAACACTTTGTTTCAAGTGATAACCACAATACATTTAAAAATAACAAGTTCTGATTATAAAATAACAAGTTTGGGATTAAAATTTAACAACACGTTTTTTTTATAACAAAACACTTTGTTTCAAGTGATAACAACAATACATTTAAAAATAACAAGTTCTGATTATAAAATAACAAGTTTGGGATTAAAATTTAACAACACGTTTTTTTTTATAACAAAACACTTTGTTTCAAGTGATAACAACAATACATTTAAAAATAACAAGTTCTGATTATAAGATAACAAGTTTGGGATTAAAATTTAACAACACGTTTTTTTTTATAACAAAACACTTTGTTTCAAGTGATAACAACAATACATTTAAAAATAACAAGTTCTGATTATAAGATAATAAGTCTGGGATTAAAATTTAACAACACGTTTTTTTATAACAATTAATTATTTTATACTTTTAAAAAATAAATTATTTATAACTTATAAAAAATATTTTAAATATATTTATTTCTCTAAAAAATACTTTTTAATCTGTATATCTATACAACTCATTATAAATCAAACTACTTCTTATAAATTATAAAGTATTTATAATAAGGCATTTTTAATCTATTAATCATAGTATAAATTTTATATTATAAAAAAACATGTTGTTAAATTTTAATCTCAGACTTATTATCTTATAATCAGAACTTGTTATTTTTAAATGTATTGTTGTTATCACTTGAAACAAAGTGTGTTGTTATAAAAAAAAACGTGTTGTTAAATTTTAATCCCAAACTTGTTATTTTATAATCAGAACTTGTTATTTTTAAATGTATTGTTGTTATCACTTGAAACAAAGTGTTTTGTTATAAAAAAAAACGTGTTGTTAAAATTTAATCCCAAACTTGTTATTTTATAATCAAAACTTGTTATTTTTAAATGTATTGTTGTCATCACCTAGAACAAGAGTAAATAAGTTAACTTATATATTTTTTTGCATCATAATGTTAACAAAAATTTGTTGGCTCAATGGTCATTCCTTATTTTGGGAAGCATTAGGTTGGGGGATCAAATCCCCCCAACCTCACTTCCCCCACTATTTAAAAAAAAAAAGTTGCAAAAAAAAAAAACAAAGGAAGGCCGCCGGAAGCGGCCGCCGACGCCGGAGCTCCGGCGGCCGGACCTCAGTGTCCGGCCGGAAGCGGTCGCCGGAGCTCCGGCGCCGGTGGCCGGATTCCGGTGAGGCAGTGGCTTTCTTTTTTAAAAAAAAAATAAAGAGGGGTATTTTGGTAATTTGACCATGATTTCATAATTACAATTTGAGACCGGGTCCCTCATGGTAATTTGGCATATTCAGGTGACCATAGAGTGATTTTTCTAATTCGAGGGTCTTTATTTGTGATTCTCCCTAATTTTTTCACTCTCCCTAATAAAACTTCTTCCACCCGCTTTAATTTTTATTTTTCTATTTTATTTTCGCACGCGCTCACACACTCCCCCTCCGTCCCTCTCTCTATTTCTTCATTTTTAATTTTATTTAATCTCTCATTTAAATACTAGGGTTGCTTTTCTAAATCAAAAATTCTATAATAATTATATAAAAATTAAATTTTAAAGTATTTTGGATACATAATTTATATTTTACAACCCAGCCTTTAAATTTTTTCTCAACTTTTTAAAATTCTTTTCTCTTTTATGGTTTATTTTATGTTGACATGTGAAAATTATAAACAGGGAATCAAACTAAATAAAATATGCAGTTAGGTCTTTTTTTTAACTTCAATGACATACATTTGCTTATAATAATTTGTGTTTATAAAAGTATTTTTGTTTTTCTTCATTTTTTTATGAGATCACTGTTGCATTAATATTTTAGTCAAAAAAAAGTAATTCTTCTTGAACCAAAAAAGTGAATTTTCAAAACTGTTTTGCAGTTTTATTGATATTCACGGATGATATAGCTTTTGTTTACAAAAATATTTTATTTTTTCTTTTTTTTATTAAATTGGCGAAACAATTATATTTTGATAAAAAGGTATACCTTCTCCATTTCAATGTTTTTAGTAATATAATGCTACTTTCTAGCTCCAGTTAAAACTTAAAACACAGTGCTATTACTTAAATTATAGAGTAAATAAAATTAAAAATGAAGAGAGAAAGTGAGTGTATGTGAAAATAAAATAGAGAGATAAAACTTAAAGTGAGAGGAAGAAGATTTATTAGGGAGAAAGAGAAAATTAAATCAAAATGAAAGAGGGAGAGTTGAGAGATGGAAGAGAGAGAGCGCGTTTGGAAAGAAAAGAGATATATAAAAGCCAGCAACAAATATGAGTCCTACCATGTGATTTGGAGGACTTCTATTTGTCAAAGCACAAGTTACGTAGAATTCCTCTACATTATTTGACGGGGTCACTTTTAAACTTTTTTTTAGTAAGAAATCA